TTTCTAAATAACCCAATTCACACAAATTATTTTGTAAAATATTAGTCATAATTATAATATTGTTTTAATAGGTGCTTGTCCTGCCTTTTCACAAAACTCGTTGGTGATAAATTTGAAAAATCGGTTTTTGAGACTTATAATCGAGATTTTGGCTTCCAACTTTTTTCTGAAAGAGCCAATTCACACAAATTATTTTGTAAGATATTAGCCATAATCATAATATTGTTCTAATAGGTGCTTGTCCTGCCTTTTCACAAAACTCGTTGGTGATAAATTTGAAAAATCGGTTTTTGAGACTTAAAATCGAGATTTTGGCTTCCAACTTTTTTCTAAATAAGGCAATTCACACAAATTATTTTCTAAGATATTAGCCATAATCATAATATTGTTCTAATAGGTGCTTATCCTGCCTTTTCACAAAACTCGTTGGTGATAAATTTGAAAAATCGGTTTTTGAGACTTAAAATCGAGTTTTTGGCTTCCAACTTTTTTCTGAAAGAGCCAATTCACACAAATTATTTTGTAAGATATTAGTCATGATTATAATATTGTTTTAATAGGTGCTTGTCCTGCCTTTTCACAAAACTCGTTGGTGATAAATTTGAAAAATCGGTTTTTGAGACTTATAATCGAGTTTTTGGCTTCCAACTTTTTCTAAATAACCCAATTCACACAAATTATTTTGTAAAATATTAGTCACGATTATAATATTGTTTTAATAGGTGCTTGTCCTGCCTTTTCACAAAACTCGTTGGTTATAAATTTGAAAAATTGGTTTTTGAGACTTAAAATCGAGATTTTGGCTTCCAACTTTTTTCTGAAAGAGCCAATTCACACAAATTATTTTGTAAGATATTAGCCATAATCATAATATTGTTCTAATAGGTGCTTATCCTGCCTTTTCACAAAACTCGTTGGTGATAAATTTGAAAAATCGGTTTTTGAGACTTAAAATCGAGTTTTTGGCTTCCAACTTTTTTCTGAAAGAGCCAATTCACACTAATTATTTTGTAAGATATTAGTCATGATTATAATATTGTTTTAATAGGTGCTTGTCCTGCCTTTTCACAAAACTCGTTGGTTATAAATTTGAAAAATTGGTTTTTGAGACTTAAAATCGAGTTTTTGGCTTCCAACTTTTTTCTAAATAACCCAATTCACACAAATTATTTTGTAAAATATTAGTCATAATTATAATATTGTTTTAATAGGTGCTTGTCCTGCCTTTTCACAAAACTCGTTGGTGATAAATTTGAAAAATCGGTTTTTGAGACTTATAATCGAGTTTTTGGCTTCCAACTTTTTCTAAATAACCCAATTCACACAAATTATTTTGTAAAATATTAGTCACGATTATAATATTGTTTTAATAGGTGCTTGTCCTGCCTTTTCACAAAACTCGTTGGTTATAAATTTGAAAAATTGGTTTTTGAGACTTAAAATCGAGATTTTGGCTTCCAACTTTTTTCTGAAAGAGCCAATTCACACAAATTATTTTGTAAGATATTAGCCATAATCATAATATTGTTCTAATAGGTGCTTGTCCTGCCTTTTCACAAAACTCGTTGGTGATAAATTTGAAAAATCGGTTTTTGAGACTTAAAATCGAGATTTTGGCTTCCAACTTTTTTCTAAATAAGGCAATTCACACAAATTATTTTCTAAGATATTAGCCATAATCATAATATTGTTCTAATAGGTGCTTATCCTGCCTTTTCACAAAACTCGTTGGTGATAAATTTGAAAAATCGGTTTTTGAGACTTAAAATCGAGTTTTTGGCTTCCAACTTTTTTCTGAAAGAGCCAATTCACACAAATTATTTTGTAAGATATTAGTCATGATTATAATATTGTTTTAATAGGTGCTTGTCCTGCCTTTTCACAAAACTCGTTGGTGATAAATTTGAAAAATCGGTTTTTGAGACTTAAAATCGAGATTTTGGCTTCCAACTTTTTTCTAAATAAGCCAATTCACACAAATTATTTTGTAAGATATTAGCCATAATCCTAAAGATGTTTTATCGAAAATCGACATTTTTTGATTTCATACGATCGGACCATCCGGACATTTCCCATTCTAGTAAATTTCTTCGCAAAGATAGAAGCAAGATGCAATTGAATTTTTGGAGCCTATAATCTGCTCTACAAGGTACAGGTTAGTTCATAACTTGACCTTCGCTCTGTACAAAGTTATGATTTTTTGAATGGACTGGACCCACTTTTTCTGAAAAATCGCAAAAAGTTTCGCCATTCTGCTTAACCTGCCTATGGGCACCTATATCTTATTTGTTTTGTGCTAGTCCAGAGACGGGACATTTTTTCTGACCAATATCTAAGAATAAGCGAGGGGACACTTCGGGTACTTCTCATGTGAGAATTAGAATCTCAGAAATTTAGATTTTGAGATATCCAGAATGTCTGAATTCAAAATCTAGAAAATTCGAGAAATCCACAAAGAGCTCGCGTCTTATTTTGCAATTTCATTTTTCCAGCTTTTTTGGTTAACTGCGTGGGTGAAAAGGGGCACTGCATATATCCGGATAAAAAGAATTAGTTGCTATTCTTAACGATAATGATAATTTTGAGTTTCAATTCATGAAATTGAGATAAGAAAAAACTTTTCAGTGGTGGATAGAAATGACCGATTTGAAATTCGGCAAGTTGAAAAACCAGGACTTTTCAACGAAAAATGAAACTTGTTCCCGGCGACCAGTTCTTGGAGATCTAGATCAGCTGAGAGATCTAGTAGAACGGGACCCTTTCCAATCTACCCATGAAATGTCAATAACTTTAGAGACAACTCATACCACTATTGAAAACAGATTGTCAGAGTCGGGAAGAACAAAAAAAAACTTGGACGGCGGATACACCGTTTTGACCGGTTTTGAGGATCAGCTTTTTGAATGAATTCAATCGTAACGAGAGTCTGATATTCAGGTTTTCTTGACGAGCAAACATTTCAGGAAGTTTCCTGGAAGTTATGAATGCTTATGAGATTCTCAGATAAAAAGTGTGTCATATATACTAGCCGTCACAGAAGTGCCCAATGGGCTGACTTTGATAAACATCAGTAGACGTCTTCAAAGAGGAATCTTACTCGAAAAAAGTGGGTATGAAGAAGGGCATCGCGTTTGTGAGCGGAATCAGAACAAGGCAAATGATGGTTATTGTGAACAACCTTATCATCTTATACTTATATCCCGTATACCATATCCCGTTATATACATGTTATTGATCTAGCTCTGTTATGAGAAAAAAATGAAAAGCAAAAGTGTTGTGAATTACCGTATTTTCTCTAATAGAAGCTCACCTCTATTTGAAGCCCACCTCTAATAGAAGCTCACCCCGCGAGGTGTTTCGAAAAATAGAAGCCCACCCTTTAATAGAAGCCCATAGGCTTTTTCTCAACTTTTAAATTTCTCAATTTCTGGTCTACAGAGTTCCTGAAAAATAAAAATAAATAAATCTAAATCTAATATTGAATTTTGAGATTCTGGAATCTCAGAATTTCATAAATGTGGAGATTTGGAGTTTTGAATTGCAGAATGAAAACTTCAAATTGAAAAAAAACACCGAATTTCAGAAATCTTAACTTCCGAATTGTCTAATTTCTGATTTTTTGAAAAAAATTTTTTTGAAAATTAATCATTGAAAAATAGAGGCCCACCCTCTAATTGAAGCCCAAACTGAGAAAGAGTTATAGCTTGAACATCTTCCTTCTTTCTTCCGTTCCTTGAATAAAATATTCTAGTAGTGAAAAATGGCTGACAATGAATAGAAGTCAGACTAACATATTCTCGAAATCAGATTAATTTCCCCAAGGTTATAATGAGGATTATCAAAAACTCTATTATTCTCATTTGAGTGGCAGACAAATGAGTATTATGCTCGAAGTTTATCTCAAACATCACTAAAAGTAAATTCGTTCGATCTTTCTTCGTCTTTTTTCTGGTTTGCTCTTTTGGTTTGACTTAGGATTAGAGAAAGCATGCGGTTCTCGACATAAAGAGTGGTGAAGAAGTGAGAGACGTCGCTTATCATTCGCCTCTCCTTTTTTCTGCCATTTCATAATCTTGTGCTGTGAGCCAAAAAGCTATGAATGTGGTTCCACGAGTATGCACCATTTGCGAGCGATACCAAAAAATTGGAAATTATTATGGTGTAAGTTTAATTTACTAATCTTCCAGAATATAAAAACTATGAAATATTATTTTTTCAGGTGCCCGCGTGCTGCGCGTGTAAAATGTTCTTCAAACGAGCCATTGCCGATAATGAAATGACTTCTCACGCCATACCAACAAAATCATGTAGAATGCAATGTCGAGAATGCCGTCTCTTCCGCTGTGTGGAAAAAGGAATGTTCATCATCCCGGAAAGCACTTTCAATGTCAATAATTATGACAAATTAACGAGTCTTCTGGTGAATCTCGAGCACATGCAGGTTGTCCGAACAAACAAGCTAGAGACTATGCATATTTTCACAAACCCATCAATAGAAGAAATCGCTTGGAATGGAAGACCAAAGTTCGAAAAACGACCCAAAGATATGACTATGGATGTTACCGAATGGTCTTTTATGTGTGGCATAACGGCAATCGATTATGCTCTGAATTTTCCTCATATCGCAGAATTGGCGGTTTATGATAGGAAACTTATTTTACGAAACTGCTTTTTCTACTTGGCACTTTTATCCGATGCACTTCGAGCAGTTACCAACAAGCAAGACAGTTTGTCTTTTCCCGATGGTAGCGATGTTATTCCGCCGAACACTGACGAAGTCAGCGATGAACTCAAAAAGCGTATCAGGATAACTCTGGTTGGCAGAGCTTGTGAGCTTCAAATCACCAAAGAAGAAACTTACTTGTTGTCCACGATAATTATGAGCAATCCATGTAAGATTAACTTTTTTTGAATCAAATTTCAAACTATCTAACTTTCAACACAACTGTCTTGTCCAAACCTTGGATTACAAGGTGCACATATTTAAGAAATTTTGGAGAACAATAATTTCCCTATTTTCTATTTAATTATTTCTTTTTGCAGCTGTTGCTGACATTTCACCTGCTGCTCGAAAGTCACTTGAGACGAACCAACAAATTTATACATCCGCTCTTTTTCAATTATGTCAAGCCAAGAATGGAGCTTCCGGACCATCACGCTTTGTCGACCTCTTGTCATTGTGTCACAAATTGGAAAACACGCAAGCATGTTTTGGGTATCTCTCGATGACATGCGCTCAAAATAGAAATCCAGTATGTATGAAGAAACTATTCGATCATTAATATATTATTTGTTTAGTTTCCTTTGTTTTTGAAAAGAACCGGTAAAAATCTATTCAACCACTCATTTCTTTTTTTTTCCCCTCTTTTTCCGTCTGTTAACCACTCCTGAGATTTGTTTCTTTCTGTTTTTTTTATCCAATAACGTCTTTAATTTACGTTCAATAAATCTCACACTATCAACTACCAGATTTTCCACTGAAAATGAAAACTTCATGATAAAACAAGAATAATATAATCTCATTTCCCCCATTTTATCGTCTCATGTTCTAATCCACCACCGTGAGATTTTATTATATTGAGCAAAAGTCCAAGTGAAAATTCAATTCATCTGATCTGCATAATCTCACAAAAGAAGTGTTTTCAGACAGGCGTTGAGAATTTTCTGAAACTTCGGCCACTGGTTCTTTCGGACATGCTGATTACAGTGCTATTGTTATTTTAAAAAAGTTATGTGCTCTTAAAATGATTTCAGTACTATTTGTTCACTTTTGAAGCGAATTTTTAAAAGTGTTAATACAGTGCGTCCAATAAGTTTAGGACCCCCCCCTGGATTTTGGCCGTCTGGCCAAAACTAGAACAGTTATCAAAAATCTGTGAATGCAGTTCGATTTCAGACGAGAAATAACCCCCACCAAAAAGACACTTTTTCAAACTTCCGAAATAAGTTTAGGACCCCTGAAAATTTCGAAATTTCGAAAAAAATTTTGTCGAATTTTCGCTTTTAAACCGAAAATAACTTTGCGTTTCGAACTTTTTTCGTATGTTTTCATAAGTATCTAAAAGAATTTTCATGTTTTGTCGACTTTTCAAGTAATCGTTTTTCCTCATTTTCCCTCATTTTTTTTAGGTATTTTTGTGAAAATGACCCAAGATGCCAAAAAATTCAAACATTTCGCAGAAAACAAGAATGAAACAAACAGAGTATAAGACTGAGAAGTTAATGTAAATACTTGGAGCGCAGTCCGGACCTTGATTGGGTACAGGCGCTATGATAATCCTGCTATCCTCAAGATTTGCCACCACTGGTAAAGTGATGTTTTTCTACATGGGGCTGCTGGACGTAATAAGTTGATGCAATATTGAAAAAGGTTTGTCTGATCATTTTTTCAGTGATTGAAAGCAATTTTATTTGGTTCTAGACCGTTAAAACACGTTTCTCTCGATTCACCAAACCACCATTTTCACCCAGTTGATAAATCTTGAGGATAGCAGGATTATCATGGCGTCTGTACCCGATCAAGGCCCGCACTGCGCTCCCAGCACTTGAATTAACTTTTCAGTCTCATACTCTGTACGTTCCATTCTTGTTTTCTTCAAAATGTTTGAATTTTTGGCATCTTGGGTCATTTTCACAAAAATACCAAAAAAATGAGGAAAAATGAGGGAAAACGATCACTTGAAAAGTCGACAAAACATGAAAATTCTTTCAGATACTTATGAAAAAATTCGAAAAAAGTTCGAAACACAAAGTTATTTTCGGTTTAAAAGCGAAAATTCGACAAAAATTTTTTTCAAATTTTCGAAATTTTCAGGGGGGTCCTAAACTTATTGGACTCTCGAAAAAGTGTTTTTTTGGTGGTACGCAGGGACCAAAATTGGTGGGATACCCAAAAATTGGTTTATGGTTGTTATTTCACATCTTTAATCGAACCGCATTCACAGATTTCTGATAACTGTACTAATTTTGGCCAGACGGAAAAAAACCAGGGGGGGGGGTCCTAAACTTATTGGAACTGTAGCAGTTTTTTACACTTTTTGAATGTGAATCATACTTTTAAATATTTCTCTACAATCTGAGAAAGTGTCTACATTTTTCAAAAAAAAAATTGTTATTAGGAAAATAGTTGCCACGGGGCTGCCCCCTTGATTGCCCCCTTGGCAATTTTATCAAATTTTTGAAAAATATTAAAATTTGTCTAAACGAATTCTAAACGTAAAGAAATAAAAGAAGCCTCTTGACTAAATGTCTGGAAGTCACAAATAAGTGATTTCTCTGGAAACTTCAATAGATCGCAGTCTTTCGATAATCACCCAGTAGAACTCAAATTTTGTGAAATCAGAGATTTACATAATTTCTGACTGATTTATTACTGTGCGGCACCCAAAATGAGCAAATATGGGTGGTTCTAGCTAACAATTGGAGACTAACAATTTGAAGATTTTATCACATTTTGAGAGTTCTAGAGAGATAAAAAAAAACAAAAAACCTTTGGGGGGGGGGGGGG